TTCTTTTTATCATTTCTGTTCTGATGTTTCGTGTGTGTTTAGTGAATTTCAGTTTGTGGTCGATTGTAATCCCAAGGTACCTTACGTCGTTTTTCGGTTGTGTTATTTTTCAGTTATTGTGGGGTTATTGCAGTTATGTTATTTTTTTATGGTTTGGGGTGCTACTTAATTCCGTTCACCCATGCTTTCCACTTTTAAATTTTGTGGTTATTCTGCACCGTTTGTAGCGATGGGTGGTTGACTTACTCTGATGACCTCTGTGTTTGTCCATGACGATTGTAAGTTATATATTTTGTACTGTTTTATTATATTTTTTAATTTTTTATCATTGTTGACTGTACTGTACGTAGTTTATGTTGTAGTATTTTGTTTTGTTTTTTTTACTCGCTTTGTCCATAAAATTTGTGAATTTTTCTGTGGCAATAAAGCACATTTTGATTTGATTTGAAAGCAATTGCAGGCTTCAACGCCGTCTTAACAAGATTAGATCAAGCCCAATGTTTAATCGATTTTAGCTGGGGCTAAACTGTGCAATGTAATTGAAAGTTTTCTCTTAAGCCGCCTCGCAAGTCTGTTTAGATCTGTCGAAGGCATTTGATAGTCTCGATAGAAACATTTTGTTGAAAACTTGGACATGCATGAGTGACTTGTTGTTCAAACTCAAAAAGTGGTTTTGATTTGCAAGATGAACACTTAAGAGCTTCTTTTGAACGTCGAAGTTGTGAGCAAACTTTCAAATTGCAAATGAAGGTTTCAACAGTCTTTTTTGGGTAAAGTGTTGCAATTTTTTAATTTGCATTGCGCACGAATGGAAATGTGTATGCTCGATTGAAAGCACAATTAAGCTCCACGCATTTTATAACACCATTCAACTTTTGAATTAAATCAGCTGGAACTAGTAGATTTTTCGATTTTTTTTCTGATTTTTTGCGTCGTAAAACTTGAAAGTACTAAATTGGCTTCTTTAGTTTGGATGGTCATTGGAATACTCGGAAATCCCATACAGGGTGTTCATTTGGTATTCCGACGTTCAAAGTGAATTTTTATGTTTATAATTAAGCATCGTTATTTTGCTGGAAGTGGAACGTTTTTTTTTGATCGGGCAATTTTATGAAAACCGTTCAATTAGCAATCAATGAATCAATTTAACCAACATTAATTCTAGTAAATTAGCAATTAATCTTCCTGCCAACAGATTTGGGTTTTCAAATTCGGAAAGTAAACAGTAGTTTTGGTGTTTTCAAGAACCCTAAATAAGTCAAAGTACTGAAATGAAAGGTTTTGTGTGTTTTTCGGTGAAATGAAAAGAAAAATTTCAAGTTGACAAATTCTTCGCTTCGTCGCGACCCAACTTTGCTACCAAATGTGTGGTTTTCATTCTCTAAATAATTACTTTAAACACTTAAACGTCGAGAGGTTGTAAGGAAACGACATATTGATAATCAAGCTTCCAACAGTGTTGAGATTGATGAATAACTTGTGCAACTTTTTCATTTGCAATCAACAGAAATGAAAATTTGTGTGCGCAATTGAAAGTCCAATTAAAAGCCACATACTTTATCAGACTATTGAATTTTTCCGCTAAATGAATAACTGAACATTAGCCATTCTGTTGAGTCGAAACGAAAAAAACAGATATAAATAATCGAACTAACAATGTCAAAAGCCACAAAAGGCTTTCCAATTCACCCACAAAGTTCATTTTTTTATATCCCTGCCATTTGGCAAGTGGCCTCAAAAGCAACATCAGAATGTCTCAGAACCATTGTTGGTTTATTGGTTTATTCCAGGTGGAAATGCCCCGATTTTTCTGCTCAGCAGCGGAGATTCCGGGGGCCATTTGATCATTCAAACGTCTTCAGAACAGGCCGCTGCCGCGCCTCAAAGAGTGCTCAATGCCGATAGTCTGCTGAAGGAAACGAACTCAACTTTAGAAGTCGCCTCGGATAATGAAGCAGGATGCAGCAGCAGCAGCAGAACAGCGCCCATTGGATCAGGTGAGTCTCACTTTTGTGCCATTTGTTTAAAAGTTTTCTTACTGCAAGCGCGCTCTATCCGTCCGCTGGTTTTACTCCCTTTCGACTCTTTGCATCTTGCCAAAATGGGGGTCATAAATTGCGCGCAGGGAATTATTGGTTCCACTATATTAACATAAAAGTGCTCTCAGTCGATCGGAAGGAAAAACATTTATTGCAAACGGGGTTCTTTTATTAAATCCCGACATCTATCAGATTGGCCATAAGACGGGATTTAGTTAGGCGTCTAGTGCACCTAACTGCATTTTGGAACTGTCTCTGTCCGGGCTAAATTGGAAAATACCGGGGATGGGACAAAAGAGGCGATTTCCAAGTAAAAACGCAATTTTTTTGCTATCAAACCAGAGGAATTTGCTTGTTCCCGGTACTTCAAACAAGGCGAAACAGACTGAAACCGTTCACAATTTTTTTCATTCTTACTTGCGAACTTTGAGGTTTGAAGAACGTGGTTAATTGGCATCTGGATGGCGGCATCATGAAGTTGGCTTAGAACCGGCCATTTGAAACAACATATTTAACAAGCATGAAAACCTGATCGATTAGTCGTTGAATTTTTCTGTTTGTTAATGGCAAATTGATTATTTAACAGCAAAAGAGATGGGAGCTTTTGAAAGAGAATTTTCCAGAGCGAGAATATAACAAATCCTTTTAGGACTTAGTGGTGGTGTAGATTCACGCATAAACTTTCCGAAAAGTTCCGGTAGCTTCCGCATTTCGATTCCAACCACCTGACAATGATATAAAAACCTCATATCTATAAAGGAAAAGTCTATATTCGTAAAGATTGGCCCGCGATCAGCAAACCTTTTCGATAGAGACGTTGACACAGCATTGTACTTGGATAATATCCATTCCCGGCATAATGTAACGTTCAGCTCCACAAAAGGATATTTCCCTATCGGACGTAACTCACCATTAAAATATTCAAATGGATTTCTTGCTTTTTATTGCCGCACTTCCCTACCGAATCCGTTCGGAGGGCTTTCATATCACTATTATGTTTATTACGTTTTGCCAATTTCGTTCACATGATCAGAAGTGTTTAGTGTTTCTCTATCGAGACAAAAAGCTCGTAACTCATTTAATCAGAAATTATTGAAAAAATCTGGCATCAGCAATCCTGCAAGCAAAAGCTTGAGTTTTTCTGTGCATATAGAAACCTTCTGAATTAATTCAGAAAAAATATGAGCAAAATCGGACAGAACAAGGACTGTTCAGAAATTCCTAGACTTGAAGATCAAAAGCAATTTTTGTCGTCAATAATGCTCTCTTTTTTGTGGGTGTAGAAGGTTTTCGAATGTAGTTCAGACAAATTTTAGTAAATTCAGAGAGGAAATGGCCTGTCCAAAAATTCCCAAACTTGAACATGAAATCGAAAAAAACAGATTTTTTGCAAGTGGAATCCTGTAGGATTGTCCTGTGGATGCAGCAAGCTTTCGAACTTATTACGGACGAATTACAGTAAAAACAGACATACTTTCCAGAAATTACTCACTTTAATATGAAAAGCAGTAAAATAGCGGTAACATGAAAATCCTGTTGTCAACAATCCTGCAAGAAAAAACTTGATTTTTGTGTGGATACAGAATCGATTCTAGTGTATCCAAGAGAAATTTTACTTAAATCAGACAGGATACTGGCCGTCCAAAAATTGCCAAACTTGAGGATAGAAAGCAGCAAGAACGCGACAGTTTAAAAAATTTTTATCCTCAAAAAGCCTGCGAGTTTTCACCCAATTTATCTTTAGTTGATATAGAAGCTTTTTGCCGGTATCGACGAAAAATTGAAGTAAAATTATACAGGGAGAGAGAGTGTTGATAAATTCCTGGATATAAAGACAAAAATCAGGATAAGCTGTAGCTTTCAAAAATGCAAACCCTCAACTCTCCTGCAACTGAGAGTTTGAGTTTTTTCATGTGAATACGGAAACCATCCTGTAATACCTGCGAGACATTTGACTTAAATCCGACGGGACACGCATTGTCCAGAAATTTCCAAACTTGAGAATAAATTGACTTGAAGACTGACCAAGACTTGAAGATGAAGAGCAGTCAAAACGTGGCATTTTTCATAATTTTTTTACTGCAACAGTCCTGCGAGTTGTCGTTTGAGTTTTTTCCTGTGAATACACAAAGCTTTCGCATAAATTCATGCAAAATTTCAGTTTAATCGCATCAGAGAAAAATTGCTCGAAAATTCCCAAATTTGGTGATAACAAGGTAGAAAAACGTCGATGTTAAATCGCGAAATTAAAAAAAAAATTCTTCCAATAGCAGCTCAATTTTCCCCCGTTGATACAAAAGTTGTTCAAATTTATCCAAAGGAAATTCAATAGGCAATTAACTGTTCGAAAATAAAAAATAAAAGAATTGAAATTGAATGGTGAAAAAGTAAAATTGGTAAAACTGTCTAGAAATTCTCAAAATTGGTCATATGACCTGGTCAAAAATGATTAAAATTCCCTTAGGTGATTATAAAAATGTGATCATTCCTATTCTATTGCACATGATCTTAACGGGCATTTAGTGCGTTTTTATTCGGCGGAAAACTAATGAAAAACGCAGCATAAATTTGTAAAGTGGTTAAAATGCTTATTTACTATCCATTGTCAATTTATCGTGTTCCACTGGTCGCTGATTCGTTTTAAAATCAGCCTGGATCCCTCAGCTAAGCGCAAATTGACCGTGTAATATCCGGTGCTTTTTGTTTCCGGTCAGGCCCCAATTTTTTCCAGCTTTGCTTGTTTATGCCGTTTTCTGACCGGGGCAGGTTTTCGTAAATATTTGGTTCGGAAATCGGCATTTTTAATATGAACACCGAACTTCATATTATGCTGCTGGGAAACATGCTTTGATGGCTTGGCAGATGGATATATATTCCATGCAAATTTTGTTGATATAAATTCATGATTCGCGATTTTTCATACGATGAAACAATTTTCGGGCGCGTCTAAGACAACAGGATTTAAACACCATTATTTAAGGACGCTCGTCCTTGCTAACGATGAAATATGGCCCCTGCAAGGATGTAATGGATATATTTTGCACGATTTATTTGCAACTTTGAGGAATATCTTAATTTGTAAATACTGCATATAATAAAGGACCGATCATTTGGTGAAAGCCCGAAATGCGAAACGCCGTTATTTATTAGCCCTGGTAATAGAAAATTGCCGGTTTACTACCAGCAAGATTGGTCGAATAAATCGTGTCAATTATCAAAAATCCGAAATTTTGTGGTGGAATAATTGCCAAAATGCCCAAGTAGGAACCACGCGAAGTCGCCTTAAATGAGCCAGTATTTTATATCTTCTGTATATCCAAATTGAATATAAATTGTTACTTTCGTCGGCAAACGGAAAGCCTATAAATAATTTCAGTTGAATTAATGAAATATTATGCAACCGTATTTCAGCCTGTTTCATGTTTTCTTACCAAATCGGATACAGAATTCATAAAATACAACTCTATTTGCATAATTTTGCAATGGAACAGATATTAGGCTACGGGTTTCCTGTGGAATGACAGATTTGTGTTGGGAAATTTACAAATAATTTCTTGAAAAAACCTACTGCAAACGCAATACTTCCCTAAATCCATCACATTACCTTCTATACGTTTCTTATGAACAGAGCATAAGATAAGTTCGTCGTCAGAAATTATTCGACTTCTGAACTCATTTTTCACTTGAAATGTTGAGTTCTCCTTGCGATGATTTTGACCCTCGTTTGACCCTCATGATTCAGTTGTTTTTAGCAAAATATGCATTTGCCGGTGAACCAGAGCGTTCTTTTTAAAATATTTGTTTTTTTCAATCTATAATCATCATCGTTTTTTCAGTTCATATTAGTTTGGATCCATTGACTGCCAAAAAGGAAAACGTGGATTTAATCTGGAATTTTTCCAACGCGTCTGTACACTTTATATTTATCACTTTTTTCTTAGTTCTTATTTTCTGTAGCTTTCTGCCCATGCTTTCATGTTGCTGCTAGTTTGCGCTAAGTGAATGCTTGCAAATTGTTAAACAGTAAATCCCCAAACAGTGACACAGTTAGTTGAGCGATAAATCCCAAACGAAATTTCCTGGAGCCATAAACAAAACAAAAATTAAATCATGGAAAGTACTAAATATTCGGAAAGAGATAATAAATTCGGCCTTTGTGTCAAGATAGACATTAATAACGGTTTTAAAATTTTTAAAGGGTAGTTGTTCTTATTTTAACCAGGTAAATATTTGTGAGTCACGAACGAACACTCTAAAATGATGGAAGATGGAACTTTGACGACATTAAAATTTAGCTTTGCCTTGACTAATCCGGTGCTTTCTTCGGTGGGAGTTACTTCATGGCTAAAGTTTTTAATTGGCTGAATTTTACGATCCAACTCATGTCTGAGTTGTTTTGTTGTGTTCTTCGGCATGGTTGGAGTTTCACTGAACTCCAAACATTAGGAAAATGTTGACATTATACAAAAAAAAACATTAGAGAGAGAGAATTATGAGAATCTCTATATGAACCGCTGAAACTATAGGAAATAAATCCAAATAATAAAGTGTTAAAGTTTGGCCAGTGGTTTTAATTAATTGGGAATCTGCAAGCGAAAAAAGCAGGTAGTTTTGGACCAAAAGCCGGAATTATAGTCGAACTAGCGTAAAACTGCCATCAAATTTGCATCTTATATCGTTCAAAACAACTCAATTTGTCATAAAAGGGTTTATGAGTCGAGCGACTATCTCGACAAATCGAACCAAAGTGAAAACATCGGAAAAAATCAGTAAAATCGAATAAATTCTTCACGCAGTTAAGGAAAAAAATCCCCAAAGTGGTGGAAAATATTTGAAAATGCACAATCTCCCCCATCGCCCCTGTTCAGGTATTCAGAGCACTTCTTTAATATTCACTAAAAAGAAAGAAAAGAAAGTAATGTAGTCATTAAGATTTATTTTTTGGGGGCGGTCGAAGC